TACTAAGCGTTCTACCGAGAACTGTAATACCCTTTCCCAATTTAGCGCATATAGCTTTATACAGACCCCGGGCCACAATCATATAATTAATAAAAATGGTTAATTAACCGTTTCCAACACAAAAATTTGCGAAAGAAGCTCTACATATTCCACAATCTTTATAAAAAATTCACTTACTTTTATCGAAATGTGAGATTATGTTACTTTTTATTTCCTACAAGTTCGTAACGGTTTGTTATCCTTAATTTGGTAAAACTGAAAAACGTAATTTTCAGCAGTGACAGCTTTTTTTTGTACGAGGATATGCTAACTTCTTAGTCTACTAAATTGAAATATGCTGGGTTTAACGTGCATATTAACATTTAATGTAATAAGGTAGAATATACAATAGAATTTTAGGTTTACTTTGACTTATACACAAAATAAGCGACACTTGTGAATACACTTTAATAATACAACTTTTGAAAACGCATCCAGTCTAAACTTGAACGCCTTAGAAAAGAAGAATGTCGTAGAAAGGGTCACATTTTGCCCTTTACGTATCGACCAACTTATACGGTCGAGGTAAAGGGGCACGTCTCGAAACTTCCATGCGCTGCCTTTTATGTATCGACCGCCTTTTTCGTATCGAACACCCGAGAATTGAAGGGCACCTCTCGCATCCTCCTTAGGCGAGGTTTTTGTATCGAACGCTTTCTTCGTATGAATCGCCGATTAGCCTCGACCGCCTTGCAAATGCGACAGGGGAAGGAACATCTCTCGCATCTTCCATAACCCGCCTTTTTCTTATCTAACAGGTTTTTCGTATGGACCATCGATTATCCCCGACCGCCTTGCACAATGCACATCCGAGAATGGAACGAGCACCTCTCCCATCTTCCATAGACCACCTTTTTTGTATCAACCGCATTGAACACCCGAAGGGGGAAGGGGCACTCTAGCATCTTCCATGGACTGCCTTTTTTTGCTTCGCTATGGAGATAAACGGTATGGGGCATAAGCAAAATACTTTTACACAGGGTTTCAATTACCCCATCTGCAATGATCCGCACAGCATCCCTTCTAACTTGCACCAAATCTTTAACGTGATCTATCCCAAGGAGCCTGCTTGACTTCAAGACAAGCACTTCCTTATGATTCATTACATTTTCAAATTTAAAATTGAAATCAAAGTTTCCAATGTAAATAAGTTCAACAATGATAAAGTACATGTAATATAAATGGTTTCAATTTGACGAAAGATTGATATCATTAATTTTCCTTCACTCATTTTAAACTTCAATCGATTATAAGTGGTGACAATTTTTCTTAAAGATATACATTATACAACCCTTACTTTATACACAAATAAAATAAAACTATCTCATACACATGTTTTTCTGCAGACGACAACGTTGCCATGAAACCAACTCGGTCGTTCCGATATTTCGAGAACACCAAAGAATAGAGCTGCAGATTGGACCTTCCCGTCGGGCAAATGACACTGACTGACTGACTCTCAGACAAATCCTCTGCGCGTAGATTTTTCAAACAATGAACCCTGTGTTTGGATTGTAAGCAAGCAAGATTCAGATTAAGATTAGAGTTTGTTATTAATAGGTTTCATATATTATTATGAGCCTTGCCTTCCAACAAATTAAAATGTTACACATTACTTGTTGAATGTTCTTTTTTGATACAGATGTTACAACAATTTTAGTATTACGAATGCAAACTACACATATCAGTCCTTTTTTTTTTGTTTCACTAGCACTGAAGCCTTTATGGCAAAAAAATACACTGGCGCGATTAATTAGTTTGTCCTTGGTCAAACTACAGTCGTTTGATTTATGCTACTAAAACGTGCGTATTTCACGATAGTATTAATTTCGTCCGTTTACATAGTAATCCTTTCTTCTATGGCCGACACATTCAATTACGCTGATTCTGTGTATTAATTTATCCAAATAAAGTTCGCGGATATTCTTTTCCGAAACCGAGAATCTCTCAGGAACAAATTTAGAGCTACCGTTACAGGCCAACATAAAGGAATAGTTCGTAGAATCCATGTTGATTTTCGATTGGTGTGATTCCAAATGGGGTCGACAGACAGCAGAATTGAAGAAACAATTAAATTTTAAATGAGGGAGGTTTCCAGTTTTGTTGAATCCTAAAGTCGTGGTTTAACTGCACTGTTCTTTGTAAATGATTTAATGTTAGCGTAGCAATTAAATAGCAACTGAAATCAGGCATTTTGTATTCTATATCTTTATATTAAGAATGGCATCTATAGAGCGATACTTATAAAAACATTTTTCCATTTATCTTTTATCTTTGCTGGGTGTCAAAAGGATCTCTTCTTACATGAAAAACACATTCCTTTACATATAAAATTTCAAAAGACTACCTGCACAAATTCGACAACAAAAGTAAATAGAACTTAAATCTCAGAACGTTATTTTTCACGTGATATTTTTAAGGAAATTGCAAAGGGTCGATAACTCACGAAGGCCTTAGGCTGAACGGAACTTCAGCGAAACTGACAAGTGCGTAATTTGGCTTTGTGTAATTATTCTCACCCTTTCGACGCGAAAAAAATTATATGGTGGAAGAGTTTTACTTTCGGGTTGTATTTCTAAAGTGTTGCTCTTACTTTTAGAAAAACGTTAAAATGTAATTAATTTATGACCCACTTGTGTCGTAAAAAAAGTTTTTAATAAAAATGGGGTGTATAATTAATGAACCCTTTTACCGTCAGTCCGTCAAGCAGTAAATTTTTTCAGTCCAATCGGAAATAATGCAAACGTACGTGCGTGGAGGTAAGGTGTCGTTTAAGAGTATGACAGAAAATTGTCAATACGTAATCTACATTTGTGAACTATGCGTTAATGGAAGTAGCGTAAATTTGGGAACTGTCAACATAGTTTAACACGAATAGACTAGGGGCGCCATAATTATCTTAACCAAAGTTTAGTGATGAGGGCTACTGAAGAGTCATCGTCCTAACGGATACGTTTCGAACTTGGCAAGGGTTCCTACCTATATTAAACTTATAAAATTCAGTGTGGGTGTAGGGAATAAGGCGTGGCATTTTTAGCATGCTCTGTCCCGCTAGTATCCAAGTACCGACAGGGAGACTAAAATCTTAATCAAAAGCACGCAAGTTCTTTGTGTATTCAATGCTAGCCGGAATGAATACACCTCCGTTAGCGATGTTTTAAATTTTTTCCATTCATCTTCTTTTTATAATTGCACTAGCACTCTTTCAGCGAAGGTCCTTATGGGTAGCTCGTATATCATCTCAATTACTTTTCCAGTAATCTAACAAACTGCATTCGCTACGAGATTGATTTCCTAGCTTTCTTGAATATTATTATAGAGTAACGAACGTCTGCTAATAGGACCTTATTAAGAATCGAATGCTTTATCTTGAGTATAATTTAGAAGATCGCAATATCTATCCGTCAGTTCGTTTGTCCTAAAGACCGCTTAAGCATCTCAGGATTTGGATCATCAGTCTTTCAAGAATTTAAGGAGCTTTACACGTACCAAACGGCATTACTTTGACCTTCCAACCAAATATGTTGTACAACGGTTGTAGGTATGTATCAAAACACCAACCAATGAGTGTCATATGCAGACGCTCTAACTTGGCTGTATAGGCGATCGTTAAAGTGGAAAAATGGACTGAAATAAACTTTAAAGATTTTTTTTCACTACTAGCGTCTGATGACATGATTATTAACCTTTTTTCCACTTGTAAAGTAGGTTTTCTCGGCATTTGTTCAAAGTGGTTAATAATTTTTTGCGCGATCGGTCATTTCTGACTATTTACCATGGATGTTTCTATGACAGTACGTAGAATTTACCAGTTGCTATGATTACGACGACGCCAAAATTACTTACCGATCTAAAAACAGAACAGCAAAAATACTTACCGACGCCTTTTTAAAAATCAACAGTCTTATATTACATTTAATCTTTAATTATTGTTAGGTACATTAAACGTACAATTTGTGCTGTTGTTTCCAATAGCAAGACGCTCATAAAGTCATAAAGGAAGTGCAAAGCTAGTAAACTACATCAGACACATGCACCTTTTTATGAAATTATTAATTTCAATTTTGACAAATAAACTGGTTACCTAGAGATTGACACCATACCACTTCGATCATTTCGATTTATTCTGCTCGTTAATTTCTTAGTGCATATTTATATTGGTTGGATAATTTTAATTTCGATCGCGCAAAAAATGTTATAAGCACGTCGAACGTTAAGGGTTGCCGTTCTCAGACAATAATTGGAGTCGTCGCTTCGCTCCTCCTCCAAACAATTGTCTTCGAACGGTAAAAATCCCTTACCGTTCTCCATACTTAATATACTATTTATTATTAACTAGTAGTCAATAATGAGAACTGTCACGCTGCCACTTTTAGAAAACACAACCCGAAATTTCGCTCAATGAACGTTTAGACAAGTTCTCTAAAACGAATAATTGCCACCATTCGCAATTTCCAGAGAAATTACATACCTAAAATTATCACATTTTGAAAAATTCGAACGAAATTACTCTTTGAAAAATCTCAATGACAGAACAAAATACGGCCTGTTTGACTTGTACTTCCACGTACTTGATTGACATGTTAAATTAAGAAACAAACAATTCTGTCCAACCGTTCTCTCTTATCAATATAATATGTTAATTTAGAGGATTTCAAGTGCTAGTAGTGAAAAAAATAGTATATAAACCACGGTAGAGAAGTCTATTATTGCCTTCGCACCTTACACCCCTCGGCGCAAGCACCTCGAGATGTAATCTTGGTGCTCAGGCAATAATAGTGGACTTCTCTACCTTGATATACCGGGTGATTCATTAGAACTGATGTCAGTTTGAATTTCCCACAAAACAAAAAATTTTAAAGGTTGGTAATAGTAGATTATCACTTGTATAATTCCAGTGGTGTATGTAGGAATCACTCTCACAGAGTAATAATTTATTTTTAATATACAAATAAGTCGTTTATTCGTTATTCGTTAATCACAATAATGACGTCGATTCTCATAATCAAGAGGGTGCAGTTGCTGTAGAACAGAAACCCGGTACGAGTGTATGTATACGTAGATCTTTATGCAAAATTCGTTGGCATGTTGCATAACATACTCCTGTAATTCAAAAATAAAGTTAGTACCTAGGTATAATATTCATTCTACGTGTACCACTTACCAGCTTGGGCGCTAAACTGACGGATTTTGATTTTCTGGGACTCGCTTCCATTCGTTGTCTTCGACCACTTCATCGTTTCTTAGTAATGGACGACCTGTAGGTATGTTTTAACATCAGGATACTCTTCCATAATTTGCTCTCGACAGGACTGGAACAAATATGATCACCTTCCATCGTCGTTACGTAGGTATAGCACTTCGAAAATGAGTTTTCGAAATAAAATGTGTAAAGGGGATTTGTAACCTACAATAATGCACATTAGTCTGATTTAACCGTTATTTAATTACTTACTTAAACAAATTCTTGAATTTACAGCGTAGATTTGTAAAGAACTGTTTGATAATACAGATTGGAAAAGTAAATTAAAAACAACAACAAATTAAGGAAATAACGACGGCACTGGTGACTAATAAGAATTAGAGTAAAATAACTAAAAATATATCATCGCCAATTCTATCCCGTAAAAAACACTAGAATTGTACGCGCGAAATTCAAACTGTCATCAGTTCTAATGATTCACCCGGTATAATGTACTATTAGTCTGTTTCACCGTTTAAATAACAAAGGATCAAGATTCGCATGATGCGACGTTCACATCAAAGTGAATTCAGAAAAACTTTGAAGTACATTATTTAGTACTTTATTTGTAGCAAGTATAAATGCTTAAGCGAAAGTTTCCCAAATAAATATTTATACAAAAGCATTCGGTGTCAGTTTAATAAGTTTCCCTTTATATTTTCTCCGCCGCCGAGTAATACATTATTGCAAGTCAGTTTCGAAAACCATTAAAAGCGTAGGATCGTTGGAAACGTTTTAAAAGTTCACAGGAATTTTCTTTTAAGCTGTTTTGTATTGAGTGAAAAGGTGCTTTTGTATCATTTTTGATTTTTAGTATTTACACCGAAAGTTGCTTTGAAACTTTTCCCTTCCCACGTGTACACGTTTTCAAACTATTTTATACTATTTAAGCCGATTTGAAAGATTACGTCAAAATTCGCGTGAGGAATGGAAAATTGTCACCGCGGAACTAAATCGGGGTTCTTTCGCCGTGTCTAACGTTTTATTGTAAATATTCGAGGCGGTAGCATAATTCCAGCCATTTATATTTTCTGAAGCTTTTAAGCTATGCTACTTCAGATTGATGCGTTCATTTAAAGCACGTAGATGATTGGACTCACAAATTCAACGTCAAAAATCCTACAGGTTCATTGCGTAATGATAACTAGTTGTGGAGAAAGCGTTAAAGGAATACGGAAATTCGAACCGTCCCGTTCCACCCTCAGAAGGGAAAACTGTACAATGATTTACGTATTGAAGTGAGATGGTTTAAATTATTTATTAGGAACAGATTACTTTGTTGCAGTATACACTGTTGCATTATCAAAGGATTAGAACAAACGTTTGTGGGAAAGTTTATTTCGTGATTGAACTAGCGTATAAGTACAGTTCCAACTTCAAAGCAACTTCACAACTATGTAGTACAAATATGTGGAAAGTTCTGAAGTTAAATTTAATGTATGCATTCCATGTAATAATAAATTTAATCGCCAGAACTGCGCCGCTAGCGGGCCACATACTTTTCCGGCAAGCTAGGGTTTGGTATCACATGGTATTTATGTAGCTGTTAAGAAAAGCGAAAGTGGTAAGGTTCCGAAAGGGACTTACTTTTCATTTATACACAGTGAAATCGAATAAAACTTATTAAACAATCCAAGATGACGGCACGCACTAACTATTTAGGGGTTCTTTTAAATGATGATGCTACCATTGAATTTATAACTATATTCAATGATACTACCATGAAATTTGGTGTAAATGCTCCTGTAAGGGTATTTTTTATATGAAAACGCTGACCATTTTAATATATTCCATATGACCGCCTTCTTCGAGTAGGTATGGCTCATGTTTAGTCTACATGAATTAATTATTATCCTTAATCCTTAATCGATGCAAGCACATCCATATAAAGTGATATTTATTAAGAAGTGGACATAGGGATTTGCGTGTTTGTTAAATGACAAAATCTTTAATCTTTATGCAAAATAACGTCTTAAAACAAAAAAAGATCTGGATGTCATATTAATTAATTTGGATATTGTTGCTTTGACTTCACATAAAATAAATCTGTTACGCTCCTTAAATCGTTACCGGCCCTATACCAATTGACAATATCACCTCCCAGAAAACACATTTAGGTTTAAAAAACGTTTTTAAAGCGCTTTGATAGAATACATTTGGCATTGGTAGTATGGTATACGTTTTTGTGTAGACGAATTTTATACCTACGTTTAAAATACGATGTTTATTCGTATATATAAACCATAGAGTTAGCGTTCTACGTTGATAATACGCAATTGCAAAAATACCAGATACCTTATATCACAGACACCTCCAGACACACTTCTTGGTTTTGCCATGGAACGCTGATCCTGTGAAACCAAGAAAGAAGGGTTATCCCATACCTTTCTCTGGCCCTTTTGTACTAAGAATGTCATACCCTGGTATCTATCGTTTCTTTTTACCACTACCAAGACCAATCTATTTCGGAGGAGACGGAAATTGTGTATAGCAATGGTAACGATATGACTGTCATTTGCATTGATTAATAGTGTCTTGCGGCCCATTTGGGCTGCATGAAGAATTATTATACAATACAAGCTTCCTCATGATTACATGGAGTAAACTTATATAAACTGGTGTCTGTGTTACTATGTTTATTTATTTTGTGAGAAAAATGGTTGAAGACTTGTTTACCATCGTTGCTATCTTTCCTGCTAAGAAGTGGTAAATCTTTTTTCTGTTTGTCAAATTCATCAGGAAATTTCCCCAGTTTGTTGGGACGATGTTTTCGGTGGCAAGATATTCATTAGTACTGATCCTTCTATGATATGGAGTGCCGGATGGTTTCCATGTTGAAAAAATTCAGATAGTTCACAATGTCTGATCTGACAGGAATTGATTTTATTACTATTTGATCTGGAAGCTGTTTGAAGAAAACATCCTGTTCTAGACAGAACAAGTCTAAAAATTTCAGGGCCAGCAATAATCTATTGTCTTAATGCATGATCTGTGCCGCCATCTTTGAAAACCGATGACCATCTTGGAAAACGGCTTGAATTTTATCAGTGATCACCATTTTCATTATAAAACAGTAGCTACCCTTATATAGGGACATTCATATTAAATTTCATGGTAGTATCATTTGGATACTGGTCATTAATAATAGTTGTTCAATTAGAACATATTTAAAGCGACCGCCAAAATTAAGGAAATATAATCGCCAAGAATAACAAAGAAATGCTAAACAATAAGGAAATATGTGTACGGCCATCGAGCCTTCTAAGGAATGGGTGCCGCGTTACCACAAGTGTTCCGGTCTCAGTAAGCGCTACATTTGGTCCTTCGAGCCGGATGGTGTACCTTAGGATTTACGACCCAAACGCACCATCTGGTCCTTTAAATGAACTGGTGCCTCGCTACGTTTGTGTTTCGATCCCTTTTTTTAACTGACGCCAAGTGCCCACAATGCAGGGGAGAAAGCTAACTACACAGCGGTTTGAACATCCAGGTTCAACGTTTTTCTGCGAGGGTATGGTAGAGTCATGTGGTAGTTCTAAATGAAGGGGAGGCACCTGCAAGATACGACATTCCCCAACATAGAAAAGCTCCACTATACAACATTAGGAGTGGTGTTTGACGCCTCAACCACTTCGCGTTCGGGAAAAGGTCAGAACGAGGTACAGCTAGATGATCCAAAATTACAAGAAATAGGCCACGAAAAACCTCCCAGTTAACAATTAAATTGAAGAAGACCCAATCGCGAGTGGAGCTCGCTGGAGCAGAACTGGCGGCCAAGATATCAACAGGAAGCCAACAAACCCTCAACCTCAAGACACCCAGTCCCTTTCTGGATGTAATAGACTAGTAAGAGCCAGATTCCTTCATGACGGAAACCAACTCACATGCCCATTTGTGCGACGAAGATACTGGATATTGCGAGCAAAAAATCTGGTCCGCTGGGAAACTAGAAGCTGCATACGCTGTCTGCGATTCAACCACAGCATAGCGCAACAGTTAATGGGAATCTACCACCAGTAGCACCAGTAAATATACCACACCCTTTCGTAACCGCGGGACAGGATTACGCAGAACCCAGGTACCTATTTCAGGAAAATTTGGTCAAACAAGCGACCACCAAACGAAACAGGAATCAAGCTTGAAACAGAAACGTCGAGAACCAAAAACGACCTACTTTTTCGTGCGGTCCAAGATGTTCTTTTTTGAAGAGATACACAATGACCTCCTTTCTTGCTGGCGGGCCAAGATGTTCATTTCGAACAGATTTAAGACGACCGCCAAAATTGAGGAAATATAATCGCCCAGAATAAGAAGAAAATACTGAACAATAAGAGCCGACCCGTGTGGCACAGTTAAGTTGAAGCTCGACTGTGGTACAAAGGGTCCCTGGTTCAAATCCTGGTTCGGGAATGGATATTTGCAAATATATAGTGAGTTGGATTAGTAAAGCATGTAACCCCGTCCACATTTACTTTGTCTAAGTTTGCTTGGGTGTACGTTAGGTTCTACGACCCTAACGCTACAATAGCTAACACAACTAAATTGAGCTACAATGATTTGGTTTACTTATGTTAAAAATTGAATAACCTCACTTCCAAGGTGCTAAAACATTTGTACAAAACAAAGTCGATAGCCATTGATCACAGTTGAAATTTGAAAATATAGTTGCGTTACATTCCGCTCAGATTAAAGAGATTTCGTTACTGGATCAAAAGGGCTACAGAATTCCTGATGTCAAGGTGCGTCTAGGTTGATAATGTGTTAATTGCTTGGAGTTGAAATGAACTGCGGCGCTCCCGTCGAATATTTTTTATATATTGCAAAACGAAATTAATTTGTCGCCGCTAAAGTCTGCGAGACATAACCACTCATATGGCACTCTCCAGAAACGCACGCTAGGGATTAAATTTCTTTCGCAATCAAAACTTTCAGCGAACGTCCTATACTCTAAAAGCGAATAATTCTCGGCTACCCTACACTACATTCACAAATGTGATAAATTCGATTTATTTATTTCTCCCTCCCTTTTTACTTTAACTTCCTTTTATTTTGCCGAGAAGAAAAACCGAAACAAGCCTAACGCAAAACGATGGTTCGTATCCATCCGTATGGCTTCGATGTCTTCTGCGGCGCATTTTCACCCATAATAACTCCCTACAAATTTTATTCGTAAACATCCTGTGTGTTGTAAAATTAGTTGACGTCGCCGTTGTCGTCCTCATCTCAATTCCATATAAACCTGAAGACGCACAATTAACCTTGGAAGTAAACTGAAGTAGTGGTACTCTAATTCTTAATAAAGTGACATTACGAGTTACAAAATTAGAAGAACACAAA